TACGTTGCATCTGACTGACTGACTGACATATTATTTAATGATTTACTTATAGTTATATTAATTTGAGCGAATAATTTTATGGTGTATAAATGACAATTTTAATTTTTTTAGTAGTATATATTTGATCTGTTAGTCAATGGTTATTTGATCTGATGATAGTTATACATTCTGTTGTATGGCCAGCAATTTCATGAACGAATTGTAAGTTTAATTACTTTAGTCATATTAGAAATTTTCAAGTTTCTATTGAGATATATCATGACAGCTCTATTACTTACTTATTAGCATTATCGATCAGTAAGGGGTAAAATATTCACGTTGATGAATCCCGATAAACTTTGCCAATGCATGTTAATAAGTATGAAACTTTTGATTACTTTATTATATGTAAACTCAATACTAAAGTACACGTTTATGTACTTCGCCTTCGTAAAAGAACAAGTGATTTTACTTTAATGAACAAATCAAAGTATGGAGAAGTGGTTATTCCATTGGAGACATTAGATCCCTAGAACTCACTTGATAAAGGTCCCAATTTTGGATTTTATGCTTTCGCACATTGGCTGATCAGTTGACTTTGAGATTACATTTTCCCCTACCCGGAAAATCATTGACTTTCATTGGTTGGTGTGTTATTTTAATAGGCTATTTTCGTGGCTTTCCAAAGGACGTTTCTATGATGTATAAATAAAATCGATTTGTGTGCTTGTCAACCTCATATTTTCTGGGTGCTTGTAGAATACACTTTCTACGCCTTATCAAGACTTCTACCTCTACTTAGTGGGGCCTTGGGACGCTAGGATTAGAGTAGCCTATCGTGTTACTGGATTATTTGTCTTCGCTCTCGTTTACAGACTAAGGTGAACTCGTAATAGTTTCAAAGCAGATCAATTGACGAGCATAACATATTCATGAGGTCGAAAACAACTTGAACCGTAATATCTAATGAAGTACGTGTTAATCACACAGGTCAATTCAATGGGCGCATTAAAACACATCTACACCTATGATTGAAACAAAATGAGAGTGATTAACACTTATTAAATAGATTAGTTACAACGCAGAACTTCGTACGTACGTACATCAGTTCATGTTGCCATACCACATTAGCACAGAGACGCAATTGTCAATTTAAATCCCACAGTAGTAGAGGTAATAAAAGTATTACCAGTAATCGGAATATTATTCAAGAAGTTTAGTTCAGTGAGAAAAATTTAGAAAGAGAAAGATAAAGGGTGATGAGGAATTCAAAAGGTTAGAATTTGATAGAACACAAACAGTGGATGCACCTGCGTCATGTCGTTCAAGGTCTCAAACCACCGATCACTATCAACTCACGGACCCAAACCAGGTAGCCTACGTCTACCAACATGACTCAGTCCACCACTAGTCAGTGACTTTATGAATTTCTTCCATATTTTGGTCTGGCCGCCCCTAACTCTCTTCCAACCTACTCACTCCCACACCATAAAACATAGCTCAACGAGGCAGTCGGTGGTTAGACATACGTAACACCTATATCCCAACCACCTCAACTAATGAAGTCTCAATACTTCATCCATTATTGACCTGCCATCCTTACCTAGTAGCCGTTTCCAAACAACAACAACAACTAATAGTAGTAGTAGTAGTTAATATGATTCAAGAAGGAAAGAATAAATTCATGAAATAAAAATTAATTCAAAAAGTCAATATCATCTACAGGAAGCTAAAAAAAAAGAAAGAAAGTGAATGTATCTGCACTAGCATGATATGTATGTATATGTATGATACGATGATCTACACGTATATCAATCAACAGAGCATATTTGCAATAAACACGTAGCATATTGATTAAGTAGTACGTACGTACGTACGTACGTACGATTTACGTGCTTGCTATGCTTTAAGTTCATTTCTATGGAAATAATCAATCATAAAACGATTTAATAATAAAATGTATAAAAGTTTGTCTATGAGACTTTCCGTTTTTATTATATAAATAGATTGATGATATTATTTTCGGATAATTATTAAAAATGTAACAGCTAGAGACTATGAGAATAATGCTATATCAGTTTTAACTGACCAGGGTCCCTGTTTTGAAAGACTACGACGACAGCTTATTAAAAGGAGGGACGAGTGTGGTGTGAGCTACTTATACGTAGTATATGACACGAGTGTAAACGTAATGTCTGGCAGCAGAAGATGGGGGAAGATCAAGAAAGGAAGAGTGGGAACACAATGGAATGTGTATGAAATGCATGAATAGTGAAATGTCAGACAATGGATTGATGATGGATTGAAGATTTGCAAATTAACGGTTACGATATGGTTTTCCAATTTTACTGAGTAACGCTGTAATTTTCGTTAAATACAATTCGGTTGCCCAATCTGTGTTCTCGTTCACTACAAGTTGAGTGAAAAACACACATAGTGAGTATGAGATGTAAACAGTCAGTCAACACACACACACTGATGTCAATGTGTATCAGCCAAAGTTGTCATAGCATATCAGCAAAGAGAGATAAAATTAACAAAATCAATAGGAAAAGAGTAATATCAATAATACACAATGAAGAAGACTAAACAGTAAAAGATACTTTTGGCGAAGAAAAGACGAATTCATGGAATCAATTATTATAGCTAAGTACAATCAGGTACTCTGCACCTATTGACGTGACTTAGTCCAATAGTCAATTACTTAGTGGACTGGTATAAAAATCAAACTTTAGCTGTATTTATTTATGTTCAGACTTACACTCCTTTACCCCAAGGCAAGGTAGGTAGTGATTGGGAGACGACGTCAGTATACGTATACTATTGTGAGTGAGTGATTGAATGAATTATTCGTGTAGGCAACTTAAGATCATAAATATTTCTATCTGCACTACTTCAACAAATTAGATATATTACGCAATACCAATTTCTTCATCAACTTACTAGTAATCTAGTTTACTCAATCATAAATTTGAACAGCTTATACACTAACAATCATTAGTATAGAGATCATGTGTGACACATGTTATTACACATACTAACACTTAAACATCACACTAAATAGTCGTGAAAGCTAAAATAAGCAACTATTTTTGGCATGATTATCTTGTTGATGGATAATTTGCTTGTCTGTTTGCTTGTTTTTTTCGCGCATAAGTCACTTAGTTGACCTTCAGCTTACATTTCCCGCTGGGAAAATCCTTGACTGTTATTGGTTAATGGGTTATTTTAGTACGCTATATTGTGACTCTCCCAAAAACGTTGCTACCATGTATAAATGAGCTCGATTTGTGTGTTTGTTGACCTCGTATTTTCTGGGTGCTTGTAGAATACACTTTTTATGCCTGATCAAGACTTGTTGATATAGTTAGCCGGGTAGGGGACAAACGGATTAGAGTAGCCTATAGTGTCACTGTGTCATTGCTTCGCCCAGTTTACCGAGTAAAGTGAACTCGTAATAACATTCAAGCATATCAACTGAGGGGACATATCAATATTAGAAATGAGTACCAACAATAATTTATAATAAGAAAAAATCTGAAGATAATAATGGTTGGAAGCTGGATATTTTAATCAGTGAACCAAAACTAAATATATGGCATCAGTTCACATAAATTCATTGACTTTTGATCTGAGCTATGTTGTTGATGGATGAAGACTATTCGGTCGAGGTTCGATAGATAACCGCGATCAATGGCTAGAGACTTCGAATGACATCGCTTAGAATCAATCGGCATCATAGCGCAGATCTATTCTCTCTTTGTCCTAGTCTAGATCTTGAAGTTCAATAATTCTTCATACATACCATTCCATTGTCCCTTTTCAAAATCATGATCAGTCATGCTGATAAACATTACCGCATATCTATCCCAAACTCCAAGTTGACGATAAAATAGTTTTCTAGGAAAAACTCAATACTGAGGATATACTTCAAAAAGACAATGTGAAAGGTATAATTATGAAGGAATACTGGAAATGTAGATCTAGACGAAGATCATGAGTGAATTCCATTTACCAATAAGTTGACAATTTCAAAAAACAGTCACCATAATTCATTTCTTAATTGCAGTCATGTACAATAAACAACGTAGAGACAGACAGATACAACACAGAACTTCGTACGTACATAAGTACATCAGTTCAGGTTGCCATGCCCCATCAGCACAGAGACGCAACTGTCAGTTCGAATCGAACAGTGATAGCAATAATAGAAGTATTAGCAGTAATGGAGAAGATTACGGAGCGAAGATATGATTCGAGAAGTGTATAATTCAGTAAGATAAATTTAGAACGAGAAAGGTAGAGATTATGAGGAATGCAGAAGCTTAGAATTTCATAGAACACAAAGAGTGGATACACTTGCGCCATTGCAAACGATTCTCAGCCATGTCGTTCAAGGTCTCTAACCATTGGTGACTATCGTCTCGCGGACCCCAACCAGGTAGCCTACATCTACCAACATGACTCAGTCCACTTGTTGTCAGTGACTTCATGGATTTCTGCTATGTTTTGGTCTGGCCGCCTCTAGCAATAAACAACTTAATATCCTTTCAATTCAAAGTCTGTTTCATATCCATTAAAACTATACAGAGTGATTCATTTGAAATCATGTATCGATTATTGTTAGATTACCATTAGAAACCTGGAAGAACTGGACGTCCGTTTCGTCCTATTAAGGGACTCATCAGTAATGCATAAAGAGTTAGATATTGCACAATTTGTAATCGATAAACCAACAGATATGCTCAATTCATGCTAACTCCACTCGAAGCCCTTCTGGAGCTACTGCCAGTCCCAAGCCCGGGGATAGAGGAGGTGGATTGGGAGTGGGATAAGCGACCTCACCATCCAGTATGAAAAACTAACTCGCCAAAAAAAAAAACGCTAACCAGAAAATGGTATATGAAAAAAATTGATCACACTAATGTGTCACAACATAGTGTTGAAAATAAACACTAAGCAAAAAAAAAACAGGCAGCCAACACAGTCCATGTAAAACCGAAATATATTAGTTAACTTACACCACCAGTTCGACTACCAAGTGTTGAATTTCCACCTGATGCACCAAGTACAACAACCCCAGCATTCTCAGGATTATTATTACTAATAGTAGTAGTATTTGTATTTGTATGATTATTAATATTATTACTAATAATAACATTGTTGTGATCATCAATGATGTTGTTGTCAGTGTTATTATTGTCAATGCCATTATTAACAATGGATAATTTCGATGTGATAACATTATTATCAGTATTATGACTACTACTACTATTTAACTTTTTTGTTTCATTTTCATGTGTCACTGTTGTCATCATTACCACATTCTCAGTTATTCTTGGCATAATTGTTTTATTCCAATCATATAATGGTTTATCTTGATTAATAATTTTTGATGCAGAGATTAATTCATTATCTTTCGTTATAACCATACCATCTAAACTGCCAACAGATATAGTACGTTGACGTCGTTTCTCTTCAATAATACGTTGCATTATTGATCCACTTTATCACAATCACATCACATCACATAATACAAGAGCAAGAGGCAGTAAGTAGTATGGTGGCACCCGATGAGTGAAGTGGATGGGATGAGGGGCGGGGTAGGGCAGGGCAGGGGAGGATGGGAAAAAAAACAAAATAGGGGAAACAAATTTCACCAAAAAAAATATTTATGATTAAGGAAAAAATAAGTGTCATATATGATTATTGACGTTTTATGAAGTCATTGACAAGTAGACTGACTGAGCTATGTCGGTCGGTAATTGACGACTACCTGGTTGGGGTCCGCGAGATGATAATAATCGATGGTTAGATAACCTGAATGACATGGCTCAAAACCGTTTGCAATGGCGCCAGTGCATTTATTCTTTGTGTTCTCTCAAATCCTAATCTTCTGAATTCTTCAACAACTCTAGTTTTAACTTTCTAAACTTTTCTCGTTGAATCATACTTCTTGAATAATATCTTCTAATCCTAAACTCTCCGATTACTTCTAATACCTTTACTACCTCTACTACTATCGGATTTGAATTGACAATTATATCTCTGTGTTGATAAGGTATGGCAACATGAACTGATGTACATACGTACAAAGTTCTACGTTGCATCTGACTAACTGACTGACTGATTGACGTTCAAAATGAATACTTGGTCAATTTGACATCGGGTTATTAAACGAAGTAATAGAACCAGTATAATAAAGTAAGCAGAAATTATGTGAATAACACAACGTACTGTTGTATATATAGGTAGCTAGCTAAGCTCTATGAGAAACTTAATTACACTTAGTCATTGATCCTTTTCCAACATGACTGAGTGTAGACCTCATCGGCTGATTTCTGCTCGATTTTCGGTCGATAAGTGTATTAGGACATTCAGTAGACAACAATAGCTAAGCATTCATAAATAACAGTAATCCTAATCAACTCAGTCATAATTCATGGAAAAATGATCACTTAGTCATTCATTTTGTAGCTTTGACAAATCAATGTAAGGCTTACAAACTGTAGTTCGTCAACTAAATCACACTGAATACTACTAATTATAGTTATACAATAAATGCATTGAACAGTTAGTTGTATTAAGAAGAGAACGATATACAACGATATCAAAAACAAACTTACCGATAAACAATACCACGACGACTTGGTGTCCTTTTTCGACTAACCATCCGATTAGAGCTAGGATTTTGATGATGATGATTATTAACTGAACGATTACCAGTGATAGCATTTGATCGAATATTCGTCGTTATAGCAGAGTTTTGTTGTATACGATTATAAGGATTCAGAATGAAATGTTTACTTTGACGTCCATTTCTTGTTTGATTAATATGATGTATACGATCATATTGTGCAGTGTTTCTTCGACCGGCAGCACTAGTGGTAACACGAATAACTCCTCCACCACCCCCACCACCACCACCACCAGCAATGAAATCACTTGAATTCGAACGATATTCACGTGATGGTGGTGGTGGTTGACCTTGTAAGCCTGGTTTAATATGATTATTACTATTATTATTATGCATTAAAATAGCATTGGTATTCGAATGTTTTCTTACACCGGCAGTTTGAATTGTAACAGGTGCCCCCAACGATGTCATACATTTACGTCGTCTAGCTTCGAGTAGTACACGTTCTGTTTCAGCACGACGTATAGCAGCTGCACGACGTGCAGCTTCACGTGCTAAACGTTTAACTTTTTGGGCTTGTATTATTTGAAAATGTAAATCCCATGGACGAAATAATAAAATTAGTGTCTGAAAAAGGAAAAAACAAAAAAATTAAATTTAGTTATATTGTTATTTATTTTAGTTAAAAATTAAAAACGATTTCTACTCTTTTTTTTAAAAAAAAAAATAGAATGACAGAAATAAAACGTGAATTAGATTTCTGTCACGTCAGGGCACAAAGCCAATAAGTTCATACAATTGGTGAGATACAGTTTATTGAATAAATAAATTCATCGTTTACTTTGTAAAGATTGTAACTTGCATTACGGGGTTGTAAAGATTGTTAAGTTACACATTTTTGAAACCATGAATCGATCAATGTTAGACCACCAACATTAGAAACCTGGAAGCACTGACAGACGGCCGTTTCGTCCTGGTATGGGACACTCCTCAGCAGTGAGCATCCATGACTCCTGCACTCCGAAGGATTCGAACTCAGGACCTACGGAATTGTGAGCGAACGCCCTAACCGATAGACCACTGAGCCGGTATCTAACGGTGTTAATATCTAACTTGATCAATTCACGGAGTTGCGCAATCTCATACACAGTCTTTGGTAGTTACTGTCTACACCCGAACAGAATTGAACTTCACTGGTCACGTCTTCCCACAAGAACTCGGAGAAGATTCCTCACGAAGCTAGTCACTAGTGAGCACAGGTAATTTGCATTACGGGGTTGTGAAGATTGTTAAGTTACACATTTTTGAAACCATGCGCACTGCTGAGGAGTCCCATAGCAGGACGAAACGGCCGTCTAGTGCTTCCAGGTTTCTAATGGTGGTCTGACATTGATCGATTCATGGTTTCAAAAATAGATTGTAACTATCATTATCGCTAGAATATAAGTTTGTGTATTGGAAAAACAGATTCTCAATTTTTAAGCCTAAGCTATAAATTAGAATATCTACAACAGTTGCACATTGTAGATGAATAAAATTTTGAAACTGTGATAATAGTGTGACAGATTCATTGTTTAACAACATCTTCAAAATTTAGAATTTAATAAATTCATTTAACAAATTGAATTGATATATAGTCTTGTCAATTATATAATTAGTGCCGAGAAATGAAGATAGATATGGCAAGAATGTGCAAAAATTGAACAGAACTGGAAAAGGGAAGCTCAGGACAGAGTACGCTGAAGAATACAGGTTGGTGGTCTATGCTTCATTGGGGGTAACAGCAGTAAGTAAGTAAGTAAGTAAGTAAGTAAGTAAGTAAGTAATTATAATAGTGTTTACACTATTGGCTTCAACTGTAGTTTATTTTTATTTCAGTTCTAATGTTTCATCAATTTTTCAGCACCTGAACTAGTGATAGGGAGTGAACTAGTCGAACGTGTAGACCGCTTCACTTATCTGGGGAGTCTCATTAGCGCTGATAGCCTGGTGACTGACGAGATCTCAGCGCGAATACAGAAAGCTCGATTGGCTTTTGCCAACCTTCGTCACTTATGGCGTAGGCGTGATATCCGTTCTCTAACCAAAGGACGGGTGTACTGCGCAGTAGTTCGCCCCGTTCTCCTATATGTCTGTGAAACATAGCCAGTGAGAGTAGAAGATGTCCGTAGGTTACTAGTATTCGATCATAGATGTTTAAGAAGCATTGCTCTTTTACAGTGGGACGACTGAGTAAGCAATGCTATCGTTAGGAAACGAGTACTAGGTAAGGATGGCAAATCAATAGATGAAGCATTGAAACTCATCAGTTGAGGTGGTTGGGACATGCCTGACCACCGACTGCCGCGACGAGCTATGTTTTGTGGTGTAGGAGTAGGTTGGAAGAAATCTAGGGGCGGCCAAACCAAAACATGGCACAAATCCATGAAGTCACTGACAAGTGGACTAAGTCATGTTGGTAGATGCACACTACCTGGTTGGGGTCTGCAAGTCTATAGTAACCGATGGTTAGAGACCTTGAACGACATGGCTGAGAATCGTTTGCAATGGCGCAAGTGCATTTATTCTTTGTGTTCTCTCAAATCCTAATCTTCTGGATTCGTCAGCACCTCTACCTTTGTCTTTCTAACCTTATTTCACTGAATTATACTTCTTGAATAATATCTTCAAACCCTAGTCTTCTTCATTACTATTAATACCTCTTCTATCTTTATCACTGTGGGATTTGATTTGACATTTGCGTCTGTGTGCTAATGTTGTGGTATGGCAGCAACATGAACTTATGTCCATACGTACGTAGTTCTACGTTGTAACTGACTGACTGACTGACAAGAATTTTCAGAGAACAAATAAACAAATTGACAACCTGAGCAGCATATCACACACTAATGTAGTAGGCTTGCTTATTCGACAGTGAAAAAACAAATTTATTTTTTCTGACAAAAGTGACAACTTACTAAACATTGAAAACAAATTGCAGCCAGTAGAATTAATGTTCCACGCCAAGTAAACAGAATAACTAAACGTGGAATTGCTCGACCACCGATTAAACAACCTACACCACTGCCACATAATGCTAAACCAACAGCTAATGGACGTTTCTGTTGAAACCAATGTCCAACAGTAGCTATAGCTGGTAAATAGATGAATGATAGACCAATACCTGTTAAATAAAATTAAAATTAAAAACATTGAAACAATTATGCAGATCGATACTATATGCTCATAGAATAAAATATACAGGTAAAATGAATCTTATTAAATGAAATTGTAATTCATATAGAAAATAATATTTGAAAAAATGGTCAGATAGGCTAGAGTTAATGACAACAAGTCAAATAATCCCTCGAACTACTAAATCGATACCTTTCTAAGAGTACCGGTAACAATTCACAACTCCTCCAAAGGTCGAACGCCGGCCATTGGTAAGTATAAAACATATCAAGGCTAGACTTGATACTTACGAATAAATTTGGAAATCGGGTGTAAAGTTAATCATGATAAAATAATTATAAATTTGGTTGATATTCTCCAATGACTAGAATTCTGCATTTTTGACGTTTTGTGACTTAATGCAAATTTATCAAAGGGAACCACTGTTTTGGACTTAATGCAAGCCAAAGGAAATTAATTTAATAAATTAAGTTTGAATAATACATATAAAAACACTTTATTCAGTTACAAATATGAGCTGCCTCACGACTTACTTCAACGTGAGTACTCAAGGTCGAATCTAATCATATGACAGGTGATATACAGTTGGCTTTAGATGACCGTATCACTAGTATATTATGACTGGATTATGGTTGAAAATGTGCACTAATGGGTGTAAACCCAGTAGTCGAATTGTTAGACAAACATCACGAGACCTCAGTTCTAAGTGAATATTGCTGAGGAGGCCTCTATTTGAATAAACTAGTTCCCCAATGTTCCCTAGCCTTCAAATGTACCCAAACCGAGACTAATCTGTGATAATATTTAACTAATTTAAGCGAATCGGTGGAAAACCAATGATTTTGAATATTAACATCCATACTACTCATAGATATAATCTATGAATGGAAATACATGTGAGAAAATTAAATAACAAGATCACACGGATGATGAATGAACCAACCGAAAAAAATTAAACGATCATTTAAATAGTTGACCTAGTTAAGAATTGGAGATGCCTTGGAGGAAGTTAACACCTTTACATATCTGGGCAGCATCGTCGACGAGAAAGGTGGATCGGATGCAGATGTGAGGGCGCGGATCGGCAAAGCAACGGCTGCATTTCTACAGTTGGAAAATATCTGCAACTCCAAACAACTTTCAACCAAATCAAAAATCAGGATTTTCAATACAAATGTCGAGACAGTTCTACTGTATGAAGCGGAAACTTGGAGAACTACCAAAGCCATCATCCAGAAGGTAAAAGTGTTTATTAACAGTTGTCTACGCAAAATACTTCGTATTCGTTGGCCAGACACCATCAGCAACAACGTACTGTGGGAGAGAACAAACCAGATTTCAGTGGAGGAGGAAATCAGGAAGAAGCGGTGGAAGTGGATAGGACACACTACGAAAAGCACCTAACTGCGTCACGAGACAAGCCCTCACATAGAACCGTCAAGGCAAGAGGAAAAGAGGAAGGCCAAGGAACACATTACGCCGAGAAATAGGGAAAGATATGAGAGGAATCAACAAACATTGGACAGAACTGGAGAGGGAAGCCCAGAACAGAGTTGGTTGGAGAAAACTGGTTGGCGGCCTATGCTCCATTGGGGGTAACAGGCGTAAATAAGTAAGTAAGTAATTAAGAATTAGACATATAGTAGTTAGAACAATAAGTTACACAGCAAAATCCGTTATTCATCGTATACCTTTTATTCTCAAATGAATACAATTTTACCCAATCATATTGTGTAACTGTTTTCAAGAATTCAAAAATCCGAATTAAAATTACTACTTACCACCAAGAAGTCCAAATGTCAATATGAACAATTCGAATGTTTTTACAAAAGCACTACTTAGCAATGCAATTGTAGTAATGATTGCACCAACCATAGCTACTGGGCGAAAATCAAATTGATTACTCAATGCACTAACAAGTGGACCTTGAATGGAGGAAAGACAGGAAAAACAACATGAACGATAACAAAAAACAATATATTGCAAAAAAAATATACTCAAAACAAAATAGAACAATGATTGAAATTTTAAAGTAATAAAGACTCTTCTTCTTAGCCATATTCTTAGTAAATTCAAGAACGTATTGTTATCATTATTACTATTATTATACAAGCAATAAACTGATTTTTTGGGGCAGAGTTTTGGAGGTTTGCGTTTTTACACATTTGAAATCATTAATCAATCATTGTTAGACCACCAACAGTAGAAACCTGGAAGAAGCACTGGATGGCCGTTTCGTCCTGGTATGGGACTCATCAGACCAGCAGTGCGCATCCACGACTCCTGCTCCTCGCAGGATTTGAACCCGGGACCTTTGGCATTGTAGGCGAATGATGATTTCAAATGTGTAAAAACGCAAACCTCCAAAACTCTGCCCCAAAATATCGTAACAGTGCTCACTAGTGACCACTAGCTTCGTGAAGAAATTCTCGGAGTTCTAGTGAGAAGAAGACGTGACCAATGGAGTTCAACATCGGTCGAGTGTAGGCAGTAACTACTAAAGACAAATGGGTGAGGTCGCGCGAAATCCCTAGATCAATCAGAGTTAGACATTAACACCGTTGGATGCCGGCCTAGTGGTCCGATGGTAAGGCGTTCGCTTACAATGCCGAAGATCCCAGGTTCGAATCCCGCGAGGAGCAGGAGTCGTGGATGTGCACTGTCACTGATGAGACCCATTCTAGGACGAAACGGCTGTCCAGTGCTTCCAGGTTTCTAATGGTCTAACAATGATTGATTGATGATTTCAAATGTGTGATAAACTGATTATTTCACACCACTTTTTTTAAATTCAACTAAGAAAATTCAAAAAAATCTTTAAAAGACAATTTTATTTGACTGATAATAAATATTTTTTTGAATTAGAGTTATCAAGATTAGTGTTTTCACACACTGAAATCATCAATTATTCATTGTTAGACCACCTGGAAGCACTGGACAGCCATTTCGTCCTGGTATGAGTGTAGGCAGTAATTACCAAAAAAAATGGGTGACGTCACTCAAAATCTGTAGATTAATCAGAGTTATAGACATTAACACCATTGAATGCCGGTCCAGTGATCCAGAGATTAGGCGTTGGCGAACAAGATCGAAGGTCCTGGGTTCGAATCCCGTGAAGTGCAGGAGTCGTGGATGCTCACAGCTGATGAGTTACATACCAAAATGAAACGGCGGTCCAGTGCTTCCATGTTTCTAATGGTGGTCTAATAATGATTGATTGATGATTTTAATGTGATAATTAATACTCACGCGAAATTAAAAATAGTCATTATATCCATGTTTTATCTGTGACAGTGCCAAGAAGTTTGAATTGAATTAGATGAACCCTCTCAGAAACTGCAGCGATGCTGCCTTCTCACAAGGAAGGAAGGGTTAGAAAAGGTCGGCTCTAAAAATGTCACACCTCACCCTACCTCACGGATTTCCGTCTCCTTGGATAAGGGTGCCCACTAAGGGTTTACAAGAGCGGAGCTAACATTCAAAAAAAGGCCGTGCGTGACCAGCCTCAAGCAATTGTCCCTTGGACTCTGCAGTCACGCTCCCAGGTCTCCAAGACCAACACTAATCTATCTTCCTTTTCAGGTCCCTCAAGAAACAACCTTCCACGGTGTGGGCAGCCGGGAAGTGACAACCGCCCTCATACCCGTAACAGCACACGACTGACTGACTGCACCAAAAAAACTAGCCCTGTTTGTTCCTCTAGGATACATAGAGTACATAGCCACAGGTTTGCTTGGAACAATGGTTTGTCAACTCTCTAAGATAGATCAATTGTGTCTAACAACTTGATTTATAGTACATGACATGAATTTTTATTCTTTCATATTTATAAACATTTTCCAACCGCTTTAAGACAGCAAGAAAATCCCTAGAAGAGGCTAATAAAAGAGTAGTCATCGGACAGTATTTTAAAAGGGAAAACGGACTCCTCACATGCTCATTCTTACTAGGGTATTTAATAGCTAAATGTCAGACAATTAGCCAATCGTCATCTAGAATGATGCTACTTCATTAAAAATCTTTCATTCTACTGCACGATTATTTGCTTTGATATTTTTCAATAATGAAGCTTCAAAATAGATTGAAATGATGTGAAACAACGAAACTATATGCAAACCAATTTTCAGTAGGTAATACCAACCATGTAGAGCTTATTATTTGTGCTCTAGCAAGAAGCTATCAATCTAAGTACAGTCTCACAATGTCCTGAATAGTTAAAAACACGTATCACTGAATAAGATAATTGTACACATGATCTAATTGATTTGAGATTTACACTTATAAATAATTCGATTTCTAATATAGAAGAACAGAAAAAATCGATTTTTTCGTTCAACTGACTAGTAGTAACATAACATTACTGACAGATGGATTGAGTCAACACTTTTGTGTAGCAAATTTTTCAGACTGTGTAGCGTCACTTGTACTTATATAACTAATGAAAACAAGAAAAGGGTGATTAGACGCTCGAAACTTCTCTATTGTTGTATATTTGAGGACCATTGAATTCTGTTTTCGATAAATTTTATGGGTAAGACTGTAGTAACGAGAATTGTTGATGCAGGGGAAGGTTTATAAAAAATAATATTTCGAGGGAGGAGTCGTGAATTCACCTATAATTGAAATTTCGTTAGAAACACTCCAAAAATTAAAAGTATTCTGTCCAGTCAACCGAAGAGTTAAAAAAAAAAGAACAGGGAACTCTATTTGAAGACCACTTCCATGACAAATTAGTATCAGTTGGAGAACTATATCGGGAGTTAGACAAATACTACTTTAAAAGGAACAACAGTTAACTAAAATCATCTATTAAATGTTTTTTGAGATACAAACTGTTGAAATCATGAATCAATGAATGTTCGACCACCATCCGAAACCTGGAACCACTAAACGGCCATTTCGTCCTCGTATGGGACTCACCGTTAGACATCGGCTCAGTGGTTCAGAGGCTAGGAGTTCGAATCCTGTGAAGTGCATGAGTCGTGGATGGTTACTGCTGATCAGTCACATACCAGGATGAAACGGCCATCCAGTGCTTTCACGTTTCTAATGGTGGTCTAACATTAATCGATTCATGATTTGAATAAGTAACTCAACAATCGCCACAACCCTATAATACAAACTGTGGCCATACTAAATCAGTGGTACGAAGATTAGGCGATTATTGCAAGATTTAAAAGATGGGGGGTCGGTAATACACACTTCGAAGAAATCCCAAGATAAGATGGAAAAAATGTGCACGACGATTCCTAGTTTCCAATGGTTACCCAATGAAAGTCCTTCAACTAGCCAAATTTATAACTCAGGTGATAATGATCAGCTAGATACAACAAGTCAATCATTGAACTGGCGCAACCATTACCAACAAGATTATATTTACGAATTAAATTGAATATATTGAAACTCCGCCTCGTATATATATATATATATATATATATATATATATATATATATTATACTGCAAACTCTAATCACGTGTTAATCAATAGTATCGTATACGTGATAATAATTTAAAATTGAAACTTTCTAAATGCAATTTAATAGTTGGTATGTATAAAAAAAATAAGAAACATCCAACTGACTGATGACCTAATTATATACATACATACATACATACATACATATAACCGTGATGGACGAATTTTATCGAGAGACATTTTTTTGGACAAAAAAAAATGTAATAACCTAAAAATAATAAAAACTTTATGAGAAGATAAAAGATGCATCACTAGTGACTAGCTTCGTGAGGAATCTTCTCCCATGAGTTCTATTGGGAAGACGTGACCAGTGAAGTTCAACCTGTTCGGGTGTAGACAGTGTCTACCGAAGACTGTGTATGAGGTTGCGCAACTCCGTGAATTTGATCAAGTTAGACATTAACACCGTTGGATACTGGCTCAGCGGTCTAACGGTTAGGGCGTTCGCGCACAATACCGAAGGTCCTGGGTTCGAATCCTGTGGGGTTCAGGAGTCGTGGATGCGCACTTCTGAGAAGTCCCATACCAGGACGAAACGGCCGTCCAGTGCTTCCAGGTTTATTATAGTGGTGGTCTAACATTGATCGATTCATGGTTTCAAAAATGTGTAACTTAACAATCTTCACAACCCCGTAATGCATCAGTTACTGTAAAGAGACTAGACGAATATGATGATATTGGTTGATGCCTGCCTGATAGACAACAGTCGGTATGAGAACTTCAGTCAGGAACAGTCAGCAGAGCTCATTAGTTACACCTCTCCTATTGAAACATTGAATAACGCTAATTCAAACATCAAACAGACTATCAATTAATTATCTAAGAACATATTTATAACGAGTGTTCATCCACTAGTAAGTGAAAAATCTTAATCTAGGGTTTCATTTAAAAAATCCAACCTAAAGTAGTAAATTGAAAACATAATGAATTTAGAGACAAGAAAAATTAACACTGGTTACAACATTCCAATCCAATAAACAAAAAATCAATTAACATTGACAATTGAACAAATATAATAATAATAATAATTTAAGTTCATCATATAACATTGAATGTTGATCATATAATACTACATAAATTTCTTGAAAATTCACTTCAACTTCATCACAATCAATAACAAAAAAAAAGAATTTTTGTTTAAAACAACAACTTACCAAGAAATAAATATAATCCAATGATAAGACCACCAGGAGTTAATAAAATTGAACGTTGTTGTATATGAAAATCTTCACCTAATTCAGATATTGGTATACAACTACCAATAATTGGTTGAATATTACGATCATTACGCAAGTATTTAATTGGACCAGTTTCATTGAATTTATGTCCATTTGTTAATGATGATAATAATAACGATGATGATGAGGATGGTGAGGGTGAGGATGAGGAGGACGACAGTACACGTAAATGAGAATATGGACAAATTGGATGTAATAATAGACCATAAGTGAAACATATACCATCAACTAATACCATACAACAAAATGATCCGAGGACAACTAACCAACCCCAACCACCATCTGAGACAATATCATATGGATTTAATTCTGATAATCATTATGATTATGATGATGATGATAACCGAAAAAGATTGTTTTTTTGAAAAAAAAAGAGAAAAGTTTAAATAAACAAAATTATTATATTATAAAACAATAAATGAATGATATAAATTGTACGGTTATTTAATTTTTTTTTCTTTGTTTTCAGAAAAACTTCACATAACAATATGAGAAAACAATATCTAAATATATTGTTGAGTTAGTTACTTGAAGAACAGAATAGATAAAAAAAATCATTCAAATATCTTTGACCTTTACTTTGTATTTCATTCAGTAAGAATATCATTATTTTTTATAACATAATAATGAGATAATCGTTTACACAATCGTAAAAAATGTGAAAGTAGACAAGATAGAATAGGCATCGATCTAAATTCTATATACACACGCTAGACGTAGAAGAACAATGTGAAAGGATATATTAACAGTAGGGTAACAAGAAAAAAGAAAAAGAGTCAAAATAATACAGTATAAATAAATGACAGTAAACAAAGCAAGAATGAATATAGTTATCAAAAAAAATGAGGCTGACTAAGTCACACATCATGGCATATTTTCCAACACATCCAATGGTTAGGCGTTTGCCTACAATATCGAAGGTCCTGGGGTCGAATCCTGCAGGGTGCAGGAGTCGTGGATGCGTACTGCTACTGATGAGTCCCATACCAGGACGAAACGGCCGTCTAGTCAGTCAGTCAGTCAGATGCAACGTAGAACTTTGTACATAAGTACATCATTTCATGTTGCCATACCACATCAGCACAGAGAAGTAATCGTCAATTCAAATCCAATAGTACAAGAGGTAGTAAGGGAATTAGAAGTAATCGGAGAGGTTAGGATTAGAAGATATTATTCAAGAAATATGATTCAGTGAGATAAGTTTAGAGAGTCGAAACCAAAACGGCCGTCTAGTGCTTCCAGGTTTCTAATAGTGCTGGTCTAACATTGATCGATTCATGGTTTCAAAAATGTGTAACATCACAGATTAACAGTCAATGATTTGGTGCTACATCTTGGTTTGATCATACTTGTTCCCATATTTGTCACTATTCTATGTTAGAATAGGTAACAGGTGGACACATATGATAACAAAAGTTTTGCAGTTAAGCAATATACCTGTGTATTCAAGAGTGTAAAACCTTTAGGGTTTATTTTTACACGTCTGAAAACACTTAACATTTGAGCATATTTATTATATGAGAGCGGGGGAGACAAAGTCAATGAATTCCAGCTGATCAGTCAAGAAATAACTAAGCTTAATATAGTCAAGTTGTAATTTTATTAGCGTTTGAGTAAACTAAAGCATCTGCCTTGATATATTCATTTTTGTGTTGGCTATTCCATATAAAATCATATTGATTAATCGTATAAGAGGTAAGATGAACAGTTAAAGTAACTGAAATAACTTGGTAGCAATGATAATAAGACTAAGCGCTTAGAACATAGTTCACAAAGACAATGTAAAAGATGTGAACGAACGAACACTGGAACTCGAGATTTAGTGTAAAATAAAAAATAAACACACCAGCCCGTCTATGATAAAATTAAACAAGAATAGAGAAAGTGGACATCCCTGACGGACACCACTTGATGTAGAGAATTCCGGTGACAGTTCGCCATAAGCTCTCACTCGACCAGTGGTCTTCGAGTAGAGTGCTTGTATAAGGTTAATGTACTTCTTTGGTACACCTTTCAATGACAGACACTGCCACAGAATCTCACGATCCACAGAGTCAAATGCCGCCTTAAGGTCCAGGAAAACAACTATTGTAGGACGCCTAAATGTGTGTCTGTGTTCCAGGACCTGTCGTAGTGTGAAGACGTGGTCTATACAGCCACGTCCAGGTCGAAAACCAGCCTGGTTTTCTCGAGTTTGCTCTTCACGAGCTTTCGTTAAGCGTCAAAGTATTATTGAGGCCAATATTTTAGATACTATATTAGTTAGTCTTATTCCCCTGTGATTGTCACAAGAAGACTTTTGTCCTTTCCTATAGATTGTGACAATCAGTGATTGAGACCAGTCGGATGGGATTGTGTCCAGTTCCCAGATTCTACCTAAGATCTCAGTCAATCTAGCTGCTAAAACTGGACCACCATCCTTAAATATCTCAGGGGTCAGTCTATCAGGACCTGCAGCTCGACCTCGTTTCAGATTTCCTAACACTTTCTCAACGTCATAAGACTAGGCGGACTTACTTCGACTTGCCATTCAGGATGACTGGAGGTCGTGGGTAACTGAAGAGTGGCTTGAGGCCAGTTGAACTGATCCCTAAAGTGTTCAGCCCATAAGTGCACACTGTCGATAGCGAAACCGTCATAATAATAACAACAACATTAAATAGCAATCAAAATGATCCCCTTTTAAATGAATACCAATAGTACTGCAAATAAAAACTTCATCAAATGACAATCATAATAATAATATTAGAAAGAATTATAACTCACCTGTTTTAGATGTATGATAATATTGATCAGCAGTAACATTAGTTACTTGACCATGTGTTTGATACTGTTGTATAGATGGTTGATTTGTTTTCAAATTACATTGTGATGAATGATGAGATACAGCGGCAGCAGCAGCACCACCACCACCACCAATGGATGATAATTCACCAGGATTTATCACACCAGTTGGTTGTAAATGCCCTCCTGGTGAAGAAGGTATGACAGCATGCGCTTGTTGAGCATGTTGAGTTTGTAGATGGAGTTGTTGGTCTTCTTTTACTTTTTCATGTAATTCCTTCAAAAAAATCAATCACAGAGTAAAATAGAATTATTCACATTAAAAAAAGAGATTCAAAGAATTATATTATGAAATCATTTTACATAATAGATAGATTGAAGTTAATTAAACAAGCTTTGGAAATTATAGAGGGCTGTATGGATTTTGCGTTGTATAATGAGACTCTTTAGTAATTAAAAATAAGAATCACTGGAATCCAACTACATAGTCTGAATTTAACGTGCTATTCATGTAAATGTCCGACTGCTGAAGGGTCTTATATTATTAGAATGAAATAGCTTCTGAATGGACCTTAGTTTTCCGATTGTCTAATTATAAAGTCAGTCTATGATATTTACTACATATAAGTGTAACATACAAATCGAATTTTCAAGTGAATTACGATTTTACGCATTAGTGGCCGCATTTGTATTTTTAAACATCTGAAATGATTTAACCCTGGAAGTTAAAGAGAAGACTGAATACTGATCAATGGAAAATGAAAAATTATTGACGGGTTCTTAGATCCCAATACTGAAATCGTGTTTCCGAATACTTTTAGAAGTAAACTTAAAATGTTTGGCTTGCGTTTATAGTATCTGTTGAATCAGTACAAAAAATGATCTAATTTAAAACGTTTTTTTTGGAAATAGGGAATGAAATCGTTGAGTACGCTTGACTAGAATGTTGCATCAATTTTAGTGGACTAACAAACAGTCAAACTATATGATTTGTGGCAACATTTAAACCTATGGTATTGTTAATCAGTGTGATATGTTAATTTATATCAATGAAACAGATATTTGGCTACAGGTTTTTTCCAAGTACCACTCACAAATGAAATGTAATGTTGAAATTAGGCTGGTTTTAAGTGATGTTATTAGTCAATATCAATCCGAATAGCTGAGTAAGATGTCACAAGGTAATTTACTGTAAACCTTGATGAGGATACTTATATTGCAGAAGTGCTAGAAATAATAAAAAGAACGATGCGGAGAAAGTTCATAAAGTCACTCACTACTGATCATAAATCTGTACAGATATGTACATAAATTATTGATTGGAAACTCCAAATAAATTTACTCAAATTTGAACACTTTTATACAGATTTACTCATATTTATTCGTTTTTCAAATTTTGACATCCTATATTAACGAACTTAACTTTACAAAAATCACTTTGTAAAGTAAATAATCCATCATACACTCAGTCACTATCAACGTATAGCCTGACACGAGTTTTCGACAGCCGACTTAGTCATACTGTATTAGCATGATCAATGATAAAATATGCAGAAAGAACGTAGTAGTAATGATAGGTAAGAACACAAAAGTTCAAGACCCCCACAGGTAGATAAAGTGTGTGAATATGAACTAATGTGAATAATTCTAAGCCGCAATGTTCAAGTTTTCTACTCACTAATAGCGGTTATCCTGTGGACCCCGACCAGGTTGTCTGTATCTACTAGTTTAAGTTTTTATGTTTATGCGTGTTTCTGCCATAGAATTAAGGAAAATACCCCTACTTAAATTTAATCTGGAAGTAATGCCTAATCGATCACTAACACCTCGCAGGAATTTGTCCAGGAAAACTACAATTTTGGTGAATTAAACCCTATAATTGCGATTACAGACAACTAATCGATGATTTCTGTACAACATATTGTAAGTTAATGTTGTTATCAAACTGAATAGTCTAATCTGTAATAAAAGTTTTACAAGCATGGGTAAGCTCTGTCCGTTGACCTGACATTGATAATAGTACATAAAATCGTCAAAATCCTATCCATTAACATGTCCATATTTTAGAAACAACCTCAACAAGTTATGTATTTGCATTTATTAGGTTGTTTTCGTAAAGCAAGTTAAAAATCTAGGAATTATTTGATGGGTGAATTAAGAAACACTGGTTCTGTACAAAGGTAAAGGCGGAAAGGAGACTGGCTGGTCACAAATCTATCGAGCAGAATCATTTTCAACTTACACCCCATATCATCAACTTTTCAGCATAAACTAATGGTACACAACCTAGTTCCTTCACGAACTGATCAATTAAAGATTATCGCCTGCAGAAAAACTGTTGCATCACTTATTATTACTATAGACGGATTTCGTAAACACAGTTAAAAACAAATCAAAACAACAATCGGCTAATCATTCCTTACAGTCTTAAAATATGCTCCAATCAGGCGTACAACTGTATTTAGGAAAAGCATGAATCGTAAAACATTAATGAAATATGAATCGATTGTCAAAGTATACCTTTAAAAATATTCTCAAATCTTCACTGCCTGTACTGTCTTCACTTGTTTCATGTTGTAATTGATCAGAATCTTCAGTTGTTAGCTCATCATTTTGTTTATCAGTTGATTCTATTGTTGGATTACAAGCTTTGACAGATTCGTCAGTCATGTAGAGGTAGAAATAATCCCAAGCTTTATCTATTAACTAACTTGCTTAACCCCTGTCCAAAAACAATAAGGAATGTAATTATAATTAGACGGGATATGAAAAAGATAATCGGACAAAATAACAATCATTAAGGTTCAATTGGACGGATTAAAATATAGAATGGCTATATAGAGAAATGGCAAAATTCCCATTAACCTAACTAATAAAGTTCATTTTGAGGGATTTATCACTGATATTATACCCAGACAGATACATGTTGTTCAATTAATATTGAGCAGATGATGAAAAATTTACTGACACATTTAATTATTAGAAAAAAAAAATGTCTAATATGACTCCCGTGAGATTGTAAATATAAAATTAACCCCAATTTTGAAAACACTGACAGAGTACTTAGGACGTGACTGACTACAAAATTGGTGAAAAATGCACAGTATTATTTTTTATTAGTTGAAGCATTTTAACCCATGGTGTGCGTGATAGATTGACCAAAACGTAATGGGACTTGATTAGTTCTATGAGTCACATTACCATGCATTTTGGATGTAGCTAGATTTACAATCGTTATCAACACTAAGCGAAAATCAATTAGCGCTCCAATATCTCTGTCACAAGCTAGCATAAACGAAAGCGCTGAAAAGATAACAATACAATACTTTCAAGACGGCATAACTCTTTTAAATCCTCTATATTCCACCAGTAAAGCAGAATTCTTTTTATTTGGCCACCTTGTGGTAGTTGTCCTTTGAAATTTGAAGCAACCCGTAAAGTCCACGAAAGGAAACAAAAATCATATTAGGAAGTTGAGAGGACCAGGTATATACAAATTAAAACATACTTCTTTTGTCTTCCTTCTGAACAGAAATTAGAAATAGTTCGTCATAATCAAAGAAAGCAGATCTAGAGAGGCGAGATCTACTACAGCTGCGAAAAGGAATTCAAACGCAGCTGAAATGTCCAAGGTGACCTTGCCCAATATCCAATATCTTTTATCCAGTACATGAACTTTTTTGAAACAATTTATTTCTTTGCATTCAATTCTTGTTCTTTCAGTACGGTTTCGGGTATTTCTTAACGTCCATCGGATGTTAGTCTAACCTCTCGACTGCAGTTATTTTAGTGAGTTCACATTTCATGATGAATTTCCATGTTTCGTGATTCGAGTTAGTGTGCTCTACTTAAGAAAGTAGAAATCCTGTAAACCTTAAGCTATCACTTTGCGAGGCCGGAGACCTGTTAGATGCAATAAGCGGAATAATTAGAAGAGGAAAATTTCAGAATTATATAAATGATAAGTGAAGAAATCGGTAATGAAGATTGTGTGAGCAATAAACAGGGAACAGAGATTATAAGTGAGATGGAAAAAGTCAGTGATCGGTAGAAGCGATAATGATGATAATAAGCAGGTTTCGAGACATGAGTAAGGCACAACTGGAGAAGTTAGTCCGAGTGTGAGTACGTGTTTGTCAAGTGTGTTCTTAAGGTTATCCACTGAGGCGAATGTAGTCATTTCTGCTGGGAGAGTGTTACAAGCAGGAATAACTCTTTATGAGAAAAGGTATACACAGATGTAAGTGATTACTCTTTAATGTGCAATTTTTCGACGATTACCTTGATGTGTTTTGCGGTAATTTTTTGACAAGATTCTCATGTTGGGATGATTCGGCCTACCTACTATGTTGCTTGACAATCAGATAACTACTGATTTTCCTATAGCTTGACAAGAATAATCCCAAGCACTGGATTATGTCTTCGTAAGATTTATCCTTCAGACATATCACCCATTTAGTTGTTCATCCCTTCACTCGATCCTGGAGATTAATGTCTATTTTAAGTAGAGGAGCGACGACTTGAATTACTTAAAGGTGTAACCGTGTGTAAGTGGATGTTTTAAAGAGACTTCAAAACGATTGTGAAGTGACTGTATCAAGTTATCTACGCATCCAGTTAACAGTTGCGTTTTTCATGGCTACATCTCCAATGTAGTTAAAAATGGTTCAAATAATTATGCGTGGGATGGAAAAGGATTTCGGGTATGATAAAATGTCGGGTTTCTTTTTGAAGGATCCGTTTTCATATAATGGAAATCTAGTCACCAGGCACTTCTAAGTTCTGTGTTTAGACATAGATCAGGAATATTTAAAATATTATGAACCATGAGAAAGTCACCTCTGAGGCGCCTCTACTCTGATTAGTCACTAGAGGCGCGCATCATAAGGTTTGAAACTCAGTCCTCGAACTTACTTCGTAACTCGGCTTTGGATAGATTCCTGTGTATTATTGTCCTACCGAAGTGAAGGAGGAACATTAAGATAAGCGTTCATTTTCAGAGCTCAGTTCTTGATACTGCAGATCGGCTCTCTAGTTCACTTCTGAAATTACTCCTACGTTGCACATGAAGCTCTCAGTGTAAGTCGTGTGCAGTAGTTGAGATATCTGGGGTAATCGTTTTGTCAGAAGTTTTGCAGCATCACCATCAGGCGCATAGGCCTGCTTTGAGCACTCAAAATTGTTCAAAGTAAAGATGCCGTCCGCTCCCGACACCCGGTTAAAGGCATTAGGAAGCATGCAACAGGACAACAAGACAAGCTCATAATCCCATCAACACCTGTAATCACAGACATGGCTGAAAGGCTTCACAGTTACTGTAGAATCGTTTTTGAATGTTTTGTTTTTTGGAAAATCCCTCCATATATATATTTGTGTTATGATATGACTGACTGTTTCTGTTGACATTTTGCTACTCCATTTGATTCCATTTTGAGATTTTATCATTGTATATTGTTATTATTTCTATATTTTGTACTTATATTGAAGTTTTTATGTTTGCTTCTGAACTGTAAACATGTTGTTTAAATTTGATATTTAATATGGCTACAGCCATATTTGGATTTGATACCGTAGCAGTAAGAAATGGTAACACTTATTCTTTTGGAAACTGATACCCACCAGGGTAAATTGGACTTGGAAGGTGTAACAGTTGTTGGGTAAATGTTTGTATTTCCATTTTATAATGAAAATAGACCGATTTCTCCCAGAATTATTGTGTTTTTGCTATTGGATCCGGGACGTCGAGTGCCAACCTGCACCTAATGGAAACAAAGTGAACTGCTAGGGTAGAAAATCCATCTACAGTTGCTACACCGAGCCGAACACAGGCCCTGATCGTAACCAAGACCGCGAACATGCAACGGCATGCCACCGCACAACCCAGATTCAACTACGGGCCTTTTAACTGCAGCAACTTTAATATACGCTTTTGGAGCTTGAGTTACCGCGGCTGCTGGCACCAGACTTGCCCTCACCATCAGTCCCTAATAGCTTCCTATCTACGGCTTTTGTTCGTGGAAACGAGTGGCTGTATAACGGAATAAAGTCTTCGGATGAGAGACCAACTTGTATATTAGAGTGATATGATATTGAAGCTTATCTTCTTCTATAGGTCTTTACGTTTAGGCCTTATTAGTTATAACTTTTTATGTATATAGTTGTCACCAGTTCAGTTATGTCTCTCAGAGTGTTACCATTTAAATTTTGGCACTCTCAGAGTGTAATCACTCATAACTGTCCGTTGCTTTACCTTCTGAGAACCATTTGTGGGCTAGACAAGTTCGCAGGAAGTAAGATTTTGCTCAGTAAATGCTCTTACAATCTTAAGGGCATATATTTTAGCACGACTGAGATAGATTTTCCTTCAAAGAGGACAGAAAAAGGCATTCAGGTTCCTGGCTTCAGAAGAATTTTCAACTCCATAGTTGCCAGTAGGGTGAGGTCGAGGAGGATTACAGTGTCTCGAAATTACGAAATGATTGTATAAAATGATGATCCCTCCATCATGTGGTTGTCGTACTTGGTGCTACAGGTGCGTTTCCTGTAGATGATTTGACAGACACCAGGTGTTAGATAATCCCACTGAGCACCATGGTTGATAAACCCTCTATTGTACAGTCAGGCAGGGAGTTCGGTAAAGGGTAACCAAGCCTCTTAATCATGCTTAACTCTAATAATAGTGACAATAATAATAGTTTTTCTGAAACAGATATGTTTTTACTGGCTAGATCAAATTGTTACGAATGCTACCACATTTTTTGTAAAATGTTGCAGTTAGATTATTAATGAGAGTCTGATTCTGACAACAAGTTTACACAATGTCACCAACAGGAACAGTTTGAAACGGCTACATTTCCAACAAGCGATTACAAACACGGCTGGTACATAGCAGATTTCTTCATTGTTGTGCATAATTCTTCAGTGAATTTGTCTGGAACCGAAAGAACAAGAATTCAGTGCAAAGAAACCAATCAGTTTATATTAGCTCGTGCAAAAGATGTTAGATATTGGGAGGAGCATATACAAGCTGAAAGAAATACAAGCTCGCACGTAAAGTGCAATTTACGTATAAGCACCATGGTCTTTCACTGCTGATTCGGTTATACGAAGGACAAAGAAGATAATTAAGAAAAGAACGATAGTAGGATGTTACCAGAGCAATATTTACCCGTTCATGGTGGAGCAGAAGTAAGTCAAGATAAAATGCATGCCGACCAGTGAAAATAAAATAAATTGTAGTCACATAGCCTTCAAATTAGAGAGTACAGCGATGAAAAATGATGGGCCGTGAGGTGTATCAAGGTGGACAGAAGAGATTTCTAAAGAAAAAGCTGGGTGTCTGTACATCAAAGCCAGAAGTTCTGGAAGAACAATAAAGTTTGAGAAAAACATAAATTATTATATCGTTATTCATGTATCTTTTTGATCAAATACCATCCTCTAAATAATGCTGTAAGTGCATCAGTAAGCACGTTGCATGTTATCTTGGCAAAATAGCGATCCTCGCATATTATCGGAAACGTGAGTCTCAGAAGCACAACCTCCCTGTCACTTATCAGTAGCCTCATCAGCCATAAAAATTGGAAAACAAACAAAATGTTCTACCCCTAAAACATGGGTATATTGAAGCCATCGCCCAAACCATCAGTGTTTGCTAGTCAGTAACTCCACCCTCCCTCCTTTTGTGTTGTTAAGCTCATTTGAAATGATCATAAGATTATATTTTATGTTCTACTTATCCTTTAAAGAAACACTACTTCTTCAAGTTTTGTTTTGCAGGCATCTCTGGCTGCTACAACTTATGACCCATGGTATAAGCATCAATGCAAGACACTTAACTGTTGTGGAGAAAAGAGCACGGGTTTTCAACAGACTACAAGCATTTAGGATGTACTAGAGGGAAAAATTCGCAATACTATAGTTATAAATGAGGCGATGCACAGCGATATGGAATCGACTGTAGGTCAATAGGGTGTATGTGATAAAGATACGGTTAAGAAAAATGTATGAGGTAAAATGTTTGTTCTGATTGAAGGATAAAAATATACTAAAAGCTCACAGATAACAATTTGTTCATAATAAGTCTCTTCACCATACACTATAGAATGAAAGTTCAAATCTGCGTTCTTTTTTATTCGTTTTAGAGGGGCAAGATGTACATCTGAATTGTGGTTTGCTACGTCATGAGAGGAAGCGAAGGAAGTAGGAGTATTGGCTTTATAACTACATTCCTTTGATATGTGATCAATATAGTTATTGGCAAATGAATATTCAGTGACTTATTTGGTGAGAGGTATTTGAGATAGATTATGGTAGATATCGCTGCTCAAAGTTAACCGATGATCACCAAAGACCAGATGTGGAGGTAGTTGGAGGGGATAAGGATGGATCATTTCGACGATACACAGGACTTGGTGGAGTGCGGCAGAAGTCTGTGATAGATGAATTAGGTGGTGGACTAGGCGGATCAGACATGGTTTCGCAAATAAGAAGGATAGATTCTGACAAAGATGACTTGGATGAGATAGAAATATCGACCTCAGCAGTCGGAGATAACAAAACAACTCTGTATAGGATGTGAGTGTTAAAAGAGTAAGGTAATTTTTTCGAAGGAAGAATCTAAGATTTTTTAAAGGTATTCCGGCTAGAGTGGTATTGATGAAAATTCAGTGGGTGCTCAGTCGAGCTAATGTTATGGGTTTTCCGTGCACCACTTGGTAAGCTAGTCTATTGAATGTAATAAGCAGGATAGCATGCCTCAGCTTAAATGTGAGAAGTATGAGGTTATAATTTAGAGATGCATTCGTGGTGTGCGTGTATCTGGCTCATGGGAGTGCTAGGGTTTACATTTAGAAGCTTACTAACGTCTTCAGTAGTTGTAGTAGTAGTTACGCTTTGTTGCCTAATAGGTTGGTTGAGTACTATGGATAGACGGCTATAGCGTGCAGCAGATTCCCTAGGATTTCTGTGCAGGAGAGTCGCTGGGTCTTTCCTGGCATTTCTAGGGCAACGATGGCGTATTGCATAGGTACAACTGACTTGCATTTTGGCAGAAGTTGGCCGTTTGACAAGTCGCTGTAGCACTTTTATTTGTAGAAGAGGTTTTTGGACCAATAGACTTACAGGATTTGTTCCTGGCTTTGAGAGAGGTAAGGAAATACGCTTTAGTAGCGGATTTAGGTAAGTTACACTCACATCATACGAAACCCTTTGATGGACTAAACTGCAAAATCGTGCACGGAGGTCAGCTGACAGACTCTTTTGGGGTGAAAACCAGTGTAAGGCAAGGTTGCTTACTCTCACCCTTTCTCATGGTTATCGATTGGATTATGAAGACATCAACATCTGATGGGAAGCACGGTATCGAATGGACAGCTAGTGTGGTGTGTGCTACTTATACGAACGATATAAGTAGTATAAGAATGGACGTGAAAGAAGATGTCTTACGGTCAGAAGAGGAAAACGGAAAGCAAATAGAGCAAAAGCAAGAAAGATTTAGAGCACCGACAGGAAGTAAAGGAAGCAACAGCAGGAATGGAGGAAGGCTGGAGCGTTGGAAGTCAGGACTCAAAGATGGTGTGCAAATGGAGTGTTCAATGTAATGTTATCGTTTTTAATTGACTAAGAGTGTAAATTTGCCAAATACAATCTATTGAGCCTGCCTCAGTCTTCTCAATTGGTGTCGCTGCCTCCACACAGGATGAAGATACCATGGCCTCGGGAGTTTGAAGACGGAGATGTAGGAGCTTCTTGAAGGAGTTCGAGGCTGTGGCGGAGCTGGTCGGAGTCAAGGAACGGAAGGCGAAGGCGGTGGTGCTGGGGACTCTACTAAGAGGCAGGGCGAGAGCGGTGTACGATAGTGTGGAGGACGCTGACTGGAAGGCGGTGACGGAAAGGCTGCTGTTGGAGTTCGACAGCCCGGCGGATAGGCAGGACGCGCTGCAGAAGTTCCGAGAGGCGCGGCTGTCGGTGGACGGCGACCCACTCGTGCTGGCCGTGGAGTTGACAAGATTGCTGCGCCGGGGTCTGCCGAATTTGGATGAGGAGTCGCAGGCACAGCTGCTAGCCTCGCAATTCATTGAAAGTGTGCCTGCAGAGATTGGCCAACAGTTGAGACTGGTGAACGCGGCACAACCAATGGACGTCACCGAGCTGGCGAAAGTAACAAGACAACTGATGAACTCAACAGTCGCCTCGGTGGCGTGTGAGAGACAGGCTGATGATGTCGTGAAGAAGATAGAAGAATTACAACGAGAGGTGGCAGCGTTACGAATAAAGGGTGAAAGAAATAATAAATGCTACATTTGCGGAGGAACCGGACATTGGAAGAGGAATTGCCCAACAAGACGAAGACGTAAATATTTTAGACCATACACAAGTTGTTCTTTATGTCTTTCGAAACTGGGGGTTTCGGCATTAGTAGATAAGGGGGCGGTCTATATGGGTTGCTTCGGCACCTGAACTAGTGATAGGGAGTGAAGTAGTCGAGCGTGTAGATCACTTCACTTATCTGGGGAGTCTCATCAGTGCTGACGGTCTGGTGACTGACGAAATCTCAGCTCGGATACAGAAAGCTCGATTGGCTTTTGCCAACCTGCGTCACTTATGGCGTAGGCGTGATATCCGTTCGCTAACCAAAGGGCGGGTGTACTGCGCAGCAGTTCGTTCCGTTCTCTTATATGGCTGTGAAACATGGCCGTTAAGAGTAGAAGATGTTCGTAGGTTACTAGTATTCGATCATAGATGTTTAAGAAGCATTGCTCGTATATCGTGGGACAGCCGAGTAAGCAATGCTGTCGTTAGGAAACGAGTACTAGGTAAGGATGGCAGATCAATCGATGAAGTGGTGAAACTTCATCAGTTGAGGTGGTTGGGACATGTGTTACGTATGCCTAACCACCGACTGCCTCGACGAGCTATGTTTTGTGGTGTAGGAGTAGGTTGGAAGAAAGCTAGGGGCGGCCAGACCAAAACATGGCAGAAATCCATGAAGTCACTGACAAGTGGACTGAGTCATGTTGGTAGATGTAGACTACCTGGTTGGGGTCCGCGAGACGAAAGTCATCAATGGTTAGAGACCTTGAACGACATGGCTCAAAATCGTTTGCAATGGCGCAGGTGCATCCACTCTTTGAGCTCTCTCAAATCCTAATCTTCTGGATTAGCCAGCACCTCTACCTTTGTCTTTCTAACCTTATCTCACTGAATTATATTTTTTGAATAATATCTTAAACCCTAGTCTTCTTTATTATAACATTAATACCTCTACTATCTTTATCACTATGGGATTTGATATTTGCGTCTCTGTGCTAATAATGTGGTATGGCAACATGAACTTATGTACATACGTACGAAGTTCTACGTTGCAACTGACTGACTGACTGACTTGAATCTTCAATCGAACAGTCAAAAATCCAATGCCATTTCAACTATTGAGTCATTATTTTGAAGCAGACTGCGAAACGAATCCGAGCACTAAAACGTGAAACAAAATACACTTGATTCTTGCTTTTTGACTTAGAATATGCCGATGATATAGTTCTACTTGGTGAAGACGCTGACAAAATGCAGAGCCTTCTGATCACTCTAAGCTACAATGCAATGCGGTTCCCCTTTCCCTCGAAATACGAAATGTTGCTTCAAGATTGGGCTGAATCGTCACCTGAACCAGTGATGAGGAGTGAAATAGTTGAGTGTGTTGACCGCTTCACTTATCTTGAGAGTCTCATCAATGCTAATGGTCTGGTGACTGACGAAATCTGAGCACAGATACAGAAAGCTCGACTAGCTTTTGCCAACTTGTGTCACTGATAGCGTAGACGAGATATCCGTCTGCTATAATATATATAACTTATATTGCACAAGTCGCAACAAATTGATTCATCTAGTCAATACACCAACGATAGTAGAAAAGTGATCCAACTTAACTACCCAATTGTTTCTTGTTGTAACTTGCCACCAAATCTCAATAGATTTACAACATTCTAACGAGTGTCAATAACATGACAACTAGAATTACAATTTCCTATTAATTGCTTCCAACCATGTAGTTTCAGAGAGTTTAAATTCAAAAGTTAGTCATGATGTTCCATAATCTAGTAAATGCTTCGATTGTCTAAGTTAGTCTTTGCATTGTGAATATTGTTAAGTTACACATATATGGAACTATGAATCGATCAATGTTAGACCACCATTAGAAACCTGGAAGCACTGAAAGACGGCCGTTTCGTCCTGGTATGGGACTCCTCAGTAGTGCACATCCACGACTCCTGCACGGCGCATGATTCGAACCCAGGACCTTCGGTATTGTGCGCGAACGCCCTAATCGTTAGACCACTGAGCCGGTACCCAACGGTGTTTATTTCTAACTTGATCAAATTCACGGAGTTGCGCAACCTCATACACAGTCTTCGGTAGATACTGCCTACACCCGAACAGAATTGAACTTCACTGGTCACGTCTTCCCACTAGAACTCGGAGAAGATTCTTCACGAAGCTAGTCACTAGTGAGCACAGGTAATTTGCATTACGGGGTTGTTGTGAAGATTGTTAAGTTACACATTTTTGAAACCATGAAAATACCATGAAATAATTGTGAAGATCAAATTTGAATCAACTTACAAAAGAAGAAAGATATTTCTTGCACTGTGATATAAAGAAACTGAACAATAAATTTATGCGCACATTGTTTTTATACATTTTTTCGTGATCGACTACTACTAGCAGCAGTTGTCGTTGGTAGATTATTATTATTATTATTTTTATTCTCGATTTTATCATCAATCAAAGCAGTTGGATGTTTATGTTTTATTCGTTTGCTTACAGTAGTAGCACCAATCTTATCATCATCATCATCATGATCATTGCAGTTATTATTATTGCCCTCATTCTCTTGATCACATAAATATAATCGACGAAATCGACGTTTAGCATTTCTTGAATTAGGAGGTAGTTGTAAATCTAACAGAGGTTGATTTTCATTAGATCTAGAAAAAATTTATATAAATAAATAAACTGTTAGTGGGACATGGATGGAATTAAAGTGCATGACCACGTCGCTGCGCGCTGATTGGCTAATTTCCTATCCAATCAGCGACTGATCGAATCATGGAGAACAGGGTAGAAAATTCTCGTATTGTTAGCTGCGTGCTGATTGGCAATTAATCTAATCCAGTCGATCACGTGAGTTTCTATCCAAAAGCTACTCATGTAAATGCTATAAATAGACTAACGTTGTATTTATTTTTGGCCTTCTTTGACTTCGCCATCACCTCTGGCTTCTTATTTCCATTCAACCTTGCTATTTTGGAATATAATCTTTTCCTGTTTCAACCGTGTTTTGATTCTTGGGAACTTGTCCAGTGTTTTGTGGTCAGAGAATACTAAGCAATAAGGTTTAGCCGGGAATTATCTAAGCAAGCGTTACAACATAAACTGTAATTGTGGATGAAATACAACAATTTATCATCAGATTTGTCACAAATATTAACTGATCATTGTATGTGATGATGCGAGTACATACAATTTACATAGCATCGGTTATTAAGAGGTGGGGAGAAGGATTTGATTGTAAGCAAGTTAATCTCGTGTGTTGTTACGGGTAAGAGGGTAAAGGTCATTTCTCGACTGCCCACATAGTGGAAGGGTTTTTCTTGAGGGACCCGAAAAAGAAGTTGGATTAGCCTTGATCTTAGCAACCTGGGAGAGCGTGACCTCAGAGCTGGAAGGGACAAATGCTTAAAGTCAGTCGCGAACAGTCTTTAATAAAAAGCTTTCGAAACGGTAGCTCTGCTCTCCAAGGACGGAAATCAGTGAGATAAGGTGAGGTGTGACATTTTTAGGGTCGACCTTTTCTAACTCCTTCCTTCTGTTGTGAGAAGGCAGCATCGCTACAGGTGCTGATTGTCTGAGAGAAACACCTTACTGCTGTCACACCTCTCTACAGTCAACAGTACGACTTTGCCCTCAGACTTAAAGTTGCCACTTCTAGTCTTACTGTTCTTCAATCGACCTGCCTGGTATGGTAGAACCTAAAGGCACATAAGTTCCAACAGGTGAACTTTGGTTGGGTCGTTCCGATAGGCAAACCCGACCACCACATCAAGTTAGAAACTACAATCGGAACACAGAAAACACTAAAGCGAAATCATGAAAACTATCTACATCAACCGTTTACATCTACCGACTTGGTTTAACAGTTGGATGTCTGCCTTACATTTTACATGTGAAAAATTTGAGCACTATACACCTTAGTGATTGAATCTATCAACTTTTAACAAGTGAATTGCGAATGGCAACTTTGTCGCATAATGCAATTAAAGTATTGTGCTGCAAGCTACTTATAAGTAATATATGACGTGAGTCTAAACGTCATGTCTGGCAGCAGAAGATGGGTGTGGAAGATCAAGAAAGGAAGAGTTAGAAGAACACAATGGAATTTGTATGAAACACATGAATAGTAGTGACAATGGATTGATGTTTTGCAACAGGAACAGTCCAGTTCGATATGATGGACTGATAGTTTGCAAATTAACAATTTACGATATGGTTTTCCGATTTTACTGAGTAACTCTGTAATTTTCATTAAATACAATCCGGTTGTCCCGCCTGTGTTCTTCTTCACTACAGTATAACTTAAAGTCGCGTACATAAATCTTTACTAAGTAAATTATGAGTTTCATTAAATGCAAATTTACAATCTTCTTTCCTAATAAGGGAATATCATTTCTATTAACTATTTTAATAATCTCCTAGTTACCATTTTCATCAACCATAGATTTTTACCAAAAACAAAAATAAACTTACATTCGAGTCAGGACAACTGAAGGACGACGATGTTCACCTACCACTACTTGGTCGACGATACTCTTGACAGCGGAATTCAGGTTTTCATTCTGTTGTAATTCACCAAAAACAGAACGCTTTCTTGTAGTTATCGTTGTTGTTGTAGTTTTGATAGCGGTTTGTTTTTCAGCTTCTACGTTAGAGTTCACTGGTTGCCTTTGTTGTTGTAGTTGTTCTTTGTGTTTTATGCGTAAATCATTCAAAGTAGGTGGAAGAGCAGATAGATCAGCTGTTCGATTCATTGACAAGTCAAAAATATTCTGTAATTATTAAGTTGTAATTTTGAGAGAACAATGAGATTGAAGATTGTGAAAAATTACAAGAGGGAAAAGTATATAATCGTAATATGTGCAAATAATAAAGGACACAGTTGAAATAAAAAAACATAACCAAAGTGGATTTTGTTCAGTTAATTCAATCAATTAAGCCACAATGTTTAAGATCCCCAGTCAGTCAGATACAACGTAGAACTTCGTACGTAAGTACATCAGTTCATGTTGCCATACTACATCAACACAGAGATGTAATTGTCAATTCAAATCCAATAGTAGAAGAGGTAGTAAAGGTATTAGAAGTAATCGAAGAGGTTAGGTTATTCAAGAAATATGATTCAGTGTGAGAAAAGTTTAGAAAGACAAAACTAGAGGAGTTGTAGAATCCAGCACAAAAGGATTTGAGAGAACACAAATAATAAATGCACCGGCGCCATTGCGAACGATTTTGAGCCATGTTAGTCTAGAACGAGGTTTCAAGAGACCAAGAATGACGTTTCGTGAACTCGCATCGTTTGCATTAGCGGTACAGTGAGAAAAGGGACTGTCAGTAGAGTTAGTTGTGGAGATAAGAGAGATAGTAGGGGATGTAGGAAGGATTTGATTTCGAACAATTCGGTCTCGTGTGCTGTTATGGGTATGAGGGCGGTTGTCACTTCCCGGCTGCCCACACCGTGAAAGGTTTAAGATCCTACCTACAAGTGATTGATTTTATGAATGAATATCAAGTGTCAACGTAACATTTTTGTGATCAAGTTCACCACCTGTAGAATATCGACGTACAGATATTATCCCTAAAACATTTTCAGTGAATACTAAACTTTCAATAAAATTATTTATACCTATATGCCTCAGAGATGATATTTTCCTAACATTGAACACTATAGATAGTTGAAGTAAATCGATGCAGTAGGTCGAGAGAAAGCCAAGAGCAGCAGCCTGAACAAAGTATGGTATCGATTCAAAAAGTCACTACTAACCAATAGACAAAGCCGTACAACCGGATGTTAACTACCTGGTTGAAGTTTGTAGGTTAACCATGACCGGTGGTTGCAAGTGTTGGATGATATAGTTCAAAATCAGTCAAAATGATACAACACAAATACATATACTAACTGTCTTAAAATACTTATACCTTTTATTCCGTAAACTAACTCCTCAAATTACATTGTCGATGTTTGATTTTGTCTGTTATTACTACTTTTACTACCCTATCATTTGTTTTCATAATCTCATTTGTATCATGTTGATATGTTGTGCAAACTGGAATCGATGCCCCATCATCTTCAGACTTACTTTTCTTATGACTGACTAAAAGTTTGGTCAAACCATATGTAATCCTTCACAAAATAATACTTTACTTCCTTCCATAGTGAAAAACAGAGAAATGTTAATCTATGAAGAAACATGATTTATTTCCGGGCAGAGTTTTTAGAGGTTTGTGTTTTTACACATTTGAAGACGTGACCAATGGAGTTCAATCCTGTCGGGTGTAGGCAGTAACTACCAAAGACAAATGGGTGAGGTCACGCAAAATCCCTAGATCAACCAGAGTTAGACATTAACACCGTTGGATGCCGGCCCAGTGGTCCGATGGTTAGGCGTTCACGCATAATACCGAAGGTCACAGGTTCGAATCCTGCGAGGTGCAGGAGTCGTGGACACGCACTGCTGATGAGTCGCATACCAGGACGAAACGGCCGTCTTTCAGTGCTTCCAGGTTTCTAATGGTGCTGGTCTAACAATGATTGATTGATGATTTCAAATGTGTAAAAACATGATTTAATCAAGCAAAAGCCTTGTGTAAAATAGCTTCTAGTTTTATGTTAAAAACTCCAATAAAAAAGAAACTCACTGCTACTTTATTTTCACCTCCAACTAATTTTGACAATGTTTTCAATTCAGTAACATTCTTTTCTTTGTTTTCCTTACTATTAATATTATTATTATTAGTGTGAGCAACAGCAGCAGTAGTAGTAGTAGTATGAGGTTTCGCCTGAGACTTTGACTTGGATCGTGATGGTTGACCGTCTGGTAGCTTAGATTTCGATCGACCTGTCTTTCCGTCTACCCGATGATCTCTGACAATAGTTGTTGATGATGGATTGATATTTTTTGAATCAATTCTAAATGCAAGTTCACCAGGTCGACGAAAACAAGTTTCAATAACTCGACCACCACCACCACCACCACCAACATTCACATTATCTTTCAATGGATTGCCTTTATTGTTGACATCATCAACTTCGCTTTCATCATCACTATCTCTAACACGAATCAAACGATTTCTAACTGGTTTTTTCTTTTGTTTTATTGGTTTTTCAACAATAAATGAATCCATAAAAGATGATGTGTCAATAATCGGTTTTGAATTTAAACGAGCTTGACGCACTAGATGAGGTCGAGCTAGCTGTGTTTTATGATCTGTATGATCGACAATGTTAATCACATCTTCTTTGTTCTCATTAATGCAGCAGCTACTACTGACAGGATCAGGGGAGACACGTTGATCAACAATCTCTGGATTGGGGACAGGAGATTTATTCACAGGAGTATGTGATTGTTGTACATCTTTTTCTCTAACAAAAGTAAAGTTAATAATACGATCGAGGAATGAATCTAATCTTCAAAATACTTATTGAATCTAACTTAATGTAACTTATTTACAAAGTACATGTATGTTTTCTTGGTGAGTTTGTAAGGAATCATACTTCAGCTAATCCTGTTTGTGCAACGATGATAATGAAAAGTCAAATACAGATGCAGTTGAATGAGTTCATAACGGGCAATCGCTCACACGGATAGATACGTGGAGAAGGGGAGTGGACCAACACTATTTGGTTAAGCGTGACTAACTATCTATAGTCAGATAGAGAGAAGTTCTAGACATGTGACGAATAAAGTAGGCTATACACACACACGTTCAAATAAGAGCAACCAAGGTCATAGGTGAATGACCAACAAGGTCAAAACACATGTGAATAACAAACAACTTGAGAAGAATAGATTAATTGGTTTACTCTAAAAGCTAAAACAAACTATATAGGCTTGACATGATAATACACATCACAAGATAATCCAAACGGGAATAATTTAAAATAAGACACACAGTTTAGTGGAACATACAACTTAGTGTTTGAAGATGACGATACCAAAAGAGTTATGGTCAGTGGCACCTGAAAACACACTGCGGAACCTCAGGATTACCAACAAAGTGTTGCCATTATGATCCTTTAGACAAAATGATAACTAAACACAGAGAGTTAGTTGCCTGACATTCTCAACCCGAAGAGGCCAAGATTTACAAGCATAGAGCAAAACTGTTGTCATAGACGAGTTGCGAGCCAGACTTTTTACAATCAAACTAACATAATGACAGCACCGAAGATAGGTCAAACTGATATGTCTCTGAAGTCTTAACTATGCATGGATGGTTTCATGTCATGTCACCACTGGAAATAAAATTAGGCAGAATGTAAGTCATTAAAAAAATTTATGGATGTACATTAGTCATCGCGTTGGTTTACTCCAAATTTGAAATAATGATGAAAGCAAATATAATTGCAGACAAATACAACGTCACTATCAAACTGTCACTAAAATCGGTCTGTCAGTCGTCAACAAAGTAAGATCTAGGTAGAGGGTACATTTTATCGATTCGCCATAATTTAGAGCAACAAAAAAGAGGTCAGTCAGTCAGTCAGATACAACATAGAACTTCGTACGTATGTACATCAGTTCATGTCGCCATACCACATTAGCACAGAGACGCAATTGTCAAATCAAATCCCATTATGATTGAGATAGTAGAGGTATTAATGGTAATGAAGAAGACTAGGGTTTGAAGATAATATTCAAGAAGTATGATTCAGTGAGATCAGATCAGATGCAACGTAGAACTTCGTACGTAAGTACATCAGTTCATGTTGCCATACCACATCAGTACAGAGATGTAATTGTCAATTCAAATACAATAGTAGAAGAGGTAGTAAAGGTATTAGAAGTAATCGGAGAGGTTAGGATTAGAAGATATTATTCAAGAAATATGATTCAGTGAGAAAAGTTTAGAGAGTCAAAACTAAAAAGGAATTGAAGAATCCAGAATATTAGGATTTGAGAGAACACAAAGAATAAATGCACCGGCGCCATTGCAAACAATTTTGAGCCATGTCATTCAGGGTGTCTAACCATCGATTATTATCATCTCGCGGACCCCAACCAGGTAGTGGACAATCACCGACATGGCTAAGTCCACTCGTTAATGACTTCATGGATTTCTGTCATGTTTTGGTTTGGCCGCCCCTAACTTTCTTCCAACCTACTCCTACACTACAAAACAAAGCTTGTCGAGACAGTCGGTGGTTAGGCATACGCAGCACATGTCCCAACCACCGCAACTGATGAAGTTTCATTACTTCATCGATTGATCTGCCATTCTTACTTAGCACCCGATTCCTAATAACAGCGTTGATCACTCGGGTGTCCCAGGATATACGAACACAAAAAAAGAGGAAAACAACACATCGAAATGATAATAATAATAATAACAATACTAATAATAATATTGATGGCAGTAATAAAAGAAATGAACGAAAATAACATAATCCAAAGGATGTCACTACTGTTAGCGAATTTCTACCGCACAACGCAGATAAAAATAAATGTACGTTATTCTATTTAAGATGCGTAGGACACACCATCATCATTATCATCAAGATAGCACAATAAATCTTTAATTTTGTGTAATTAGAGTTCTAGATGTCAGTAATAAATTGTCAGATTGAATTCATCTTTCAATCATATCAGTAAGATTTACTTATTCATAACAATGTTAAGGAGAGATAGTCAAGTGATCTGACTACTCAGTTGATTTCGTTAACTCATTCATATTCATTGAGATTTTCCAGCTGTTTTAGTTGAGGATTCCATTTCGGTGTTTTTGGCACACAAAGTCACCCCGTGTATGTGGGGGTTGATGGAAAATGTATTGAGCCATCTCAAAACGAGAAAACAGTATAAAAAATATATATTAGCCTGCATTGCTTTTTTCAGTCTATGAAGTCATTGACATTTAGATCCAAAAATCCATGAAGTTACTGACAACTGGATTAAGTCATGTTGGCAGGTGTCGACTACCTGGTTGGGGCTCGCGAGATGATAGTAATAAGTGGTTAGAGACCTTAAATGACATGGCTCAAAACCATTTTCAATGCCACAGGTGCATTCATTCTTTATGTTCTCCCAAATCTTAACCTTTTGAATTCGTCATCATCACCTATATCTTTTTCTTTTTAAGTTTATTTCACTAGATTCTACTTCCTGAATAATATCCCTGAACCCTAATGTTTCCGATTACTGCTAATCTATCTTCTACCTCCACTACTATGGGATTTGAAGTGACAATTGCGTCTCTGTACTAATGTGATAAGACAACCTGAACTGATGTACGTACATGCGAATTTCTACATTGTCATTAACTGAATGATTGACATTCGGATCGAAACATGTTATCAGGTTCAAACTACCTAGTTCAGGTTTGAGCGATAATCGATACCTAGAATTGGAACTGAGTAATATGGCTCAAAACTGGTCACAATGGTGTGCATGAATTCACGCTTTGTCTACTCTTTGATTGTGAGTTACGAAATTACTTCATAACTACTGTTTCGTAAATTCTGTCCTTCTTCTCCAATCATATTACCCATATCTTTATATTTTTTGATGACAATAGCAGTGTGACCACTTGTACTATTCTGGCACCTTACCGGACAATTACATTTCTGTGTTGATATGACATGAGAAATTGAATCCAAATACACATGTATAAGGTGTTTAAGTTGTTTTTGACTGACTGACTGACTATTCAAACGATATCTGTGATAGTCATAAAAACACTTCCATCGGTACAACTTTACGCAACAAACACATCACAAAAAGTCACTAAAAAAGTTTACGATCAAAAAACTAACAATCTGAAATAACCTTACATAGTCTGGTTAAGTCCATTACTGTATAATAAAAAACTTTAACAGTATCAACAATTCACTAGGTTTGTCATACATAACAAACCATATGAGTACTTCCTCACACACACACACACACAACAAATATATATCCCCGACTTAATACAGTATTATTAGTGTTGCTCAACTGAATCACTTGTGACTATTTAAAAATCTAAATAAATTGTTTATCAAATATAAGTTCATATAATCAGCGTTCTAGATATACTGTTCTATGGGATGACCAGTAAGAAATTATAGTGTGCTATCCTGAACGAAGTAGGCACAGTAAAAGTGTACCCTGTTCACTGACGATTACTTAAGCTATCCTCTTTTCTTTAAAAGCATTTCCATGTCAATTATTTCATGGAGAAAAAATACAGTTCATAAATCTCGCCACAGTGGGACAATAAAGACAGACAGACGTCAGTTCAGGTTGCCATACCACGTCAGCACAGAGATGAAGCTGTCAGTTCAAATCCAACAGTGATAACGATAATAGAATTATTAGCAGCAATGGAGAAGATTATAGTTCGAAGGTATGATTCGCGAAGTGTAATTCAGTGAGATGAATTTGTAAAGAGAAAGATAGAGATTATAAGGAGTTCAGAAGGTTAGAATTAAAAAGCACACAAAGAGTGGATGCACCTGCGCCATTGCAAACGATTCTGAGCTATGTCGTTCAAGGTCTCTAACCATTGGTGACTTTCGTCTCGCGGACCTCAACCACGTAGCCTACATCTGCCAACATGACTCAGTCCACTTGTCAGTGACTTCATGCATTTCTGCCATGTTTTGGTCTGGCCACCCCTAACTTTCTTCCAACCTACTCCTACACCACAAAACATAGCTCGTCGCGGCAGTCGGTGATTAGGCATACGTAACACATGTCCCAACCACCTCAACTGATGAAGTTTCACTACTTCATCTATTGATTTGCCATCTTTACCTAAAACTCGTTTCCTAACGACAATAAAGAAATAAATAATAATACTAATAACTACAATTGTAGTTGTAATCATAAACTCCTACACACTTACCTGATAGATTCCATTATAATATTCGGATGGATTGTTTCATCCAATCGACTTGATAAATGAGGATTTGATGATAAATTTAATGAATCATTTTTTTCCAATAATGATAATGAATCTTTCACATAATTCATCATAGACATTCCCGTTTCCATTTGTGAACATAATAATTCGTGTAAATTTAAAATAAGAGCCTAATTATAGTATTTATTTAGAAAATAATAGAAAAAGAACAATCAATACATATAGAAAAAATAATACAAATTTTATACGAAATTTGAACTGTAACAAATTTGTTAGATAAAATTCATTCATCAGTCTATTTTCAAAGCTTTTCATCCACAAAGAGTTACATACTTATATAAAAAAAGACAAATATTTGTCATACTTTCAGTTAGTGAAGTGGTAATGAATGCTCAAAATGGAATAGGAAATCATGAAAGGATTAACTACTCATTGATGCATACTGACGAGTGTACTGCGCAGTAGTTCACTCCGTCTTACTTTATGGCTGTGGAACATGGCCAGTTAGAGTAGAAGATATTCGTGGGTTACTGATTTTCGATTATACGTGTCTCCAAAGTATTGCTCGTGTATCATGGGACAGCTGAGTAAGCAATGCTGTTATTAGGAAACAGGTGCTAGGTAAGGATGACAGATCAATAGATGAAGTGGTGAGACTTCATCAGTTGAGGTGGCTGGGACATGTGTTACATATGCCTAATCACCGTCTGCCTTGTCGAGCTATATTTTGCGGTGTGGAAATAAGTTAGACGAAAGCCAGGGACGGCCAGACCAAAACATGGCACAAATCCATGAAATCACTGACAAGTGGACTGAGTCATGTCGGTAGGTTTCGACTACTTAGTTAGGACCCGCGAGATGATAATCGATGGTTAGAGACCCTAAGTGACATGACTCATGCTTTTAATCTAATCGTTCTCCAATCGACCTGCCTGGCATAATAGAACCTTAAGGAACATATGTTCCAGCCAATATAGCTCGATCGGGTCATTACGATAGGCAAGCCCGACCACCACGTCAAGGTAGCCACTACGGTCGGGAACCGTTTGCAATGGGCCAGATGTATTCATTCTTTGTGTTCTGTCAAATCCTAACCTTTTAAATTCTGCATCACCTTTATCTTCTTCTTTATAAGTTTATTTCACTAGATTCTACTTCTTGAATAATATCCTTCGAACCCCAATCTCTGTGATCACTACTAATACTTTCACTACCTCTACTACTATGGGATTTGAATTGACAATTACATCTCTGTGCTTATTTGGTATGGCAATATGAACTGATGTATGTACGCATTGACCTACGAAGTTCTACGTTGCTAATGAATGATGTGTATTTAAGTGTTGAAAAATAATAATACAGAATGAAGGAGGCTCGGTTATTGTCACTATTAATCATGATTGAGAGGAAAACATATTACACAATCATAAGTGTGATCGAATAAAAATAATTGACAAAATTAGAGCTAACATTAAATCAATATGCAAATGTCAATAAGACTATACTAAAATAGATCTGGTTGGAAATGTTTGATTACAATCACTCCTGTTAAGACGGAGTGATATCAGCGTTAGTTATTTGGAAATGGTTTTGACTTGTGACAGATGTCTGTACTACGACTTTTATTTATCAGATACCTCCTAGTGATAGTGTGATGCGTGCTACTTATAAGTAGTATATGATGCGAGTGAAAACGTAATGTCTGGCAGCAGAACAGGATGGGGGAAGATCAAGAAAGGAAGAGTGGGAACACAATGGAATTTGTATGAAACGCATGAATCAGTGAAATGTCAGACAATGGATTGATGATGAATTGATTGAAGATTTTCAAATTAAAATGGTTTTCCTATTTTACTGAGTAACTCTGTAATTTTCGTTAAATACAATTCGGTTGCCCTCACCTATGTTCTCCTTCACTACAATAGGTCTTACATCCAAACAGACATTCCTATGGACTTTTTTCAAAAGTCCAATTCCTCTTTTCATGATTCTTAATTGAGTGCTGAATATTCATCTCAAATTAGTCATATCAAACTCCTCGTAACTTTACAATAGAAAAAACAAAAAGCTTTGAAAAATGGAAATGATGAATTCAGTTAACTTCGTTTTTTTTTCTAAAAATTGCACTGTTTACAATAATCAACTAATAAATCGATATATATGTGTGTGTGTGAAATACCTTTATTTGATCTCGGACTTCTTTAAACGCCTGTGATTGGATGACTTTCATACGACAATCAAATAATTCTAATTTTGCCTGTTCTGTAGCCATCTTTTGATCATTTAATTCCACTTCTAATTTAGCTAACTTTTTCGCTAATGAAGCATTATTAGCACGAAGAGATGTTACTGAACTGAAAGATTGATTGACTGTTTGAAAAAATAAATAATCAAGAGAAGGAGAGAGAGAGAGAAAATCAATAAAATACACAGTTAACAAGTTGACAAACGAACATAACAACAGTAACAACAAACTTCTCATCGAGAAGTGACCTTAGTTAGCCAACCAATATCAACTAGGAAGTATTAATCAGCTATTTAGTCTTGGTATGGGACTTCTCAACAAGGTGAGTTATTGGAAACCGACCCAAATTAGAAATGTACTCTATCTGGTAACAATGCAGTGGTCTAGAGGTGAGGAGATCGAAGCGAACCCAGGTGGTTCCAGTTTCGACAGCAACACTTTGTATTTCGAGGGTGAAAACCGAATCCTGAACATGCTTTCATTGTTGCATAGGGTAGTCAGAAGACTGCATTTAGTCAGCGTATTCACCGAATAGAACTATGTCATCGGCATATTCTAGGTCAATAACCGATCTTCCTGGTGGGTTCACCCGTGAAAAATCTAACGAGGATAATGTTAACTCTAAAAGCATGTCTGAGACAAAGTTAAACCAGAATGGAGAGAGTGGACAGCCCTGACGGACACCACTTGATGTAGAGAATTCAGATGACAGTCGACCAGTAGTGTTCGAGTAGAGAGCTTGTATAAGGTTAATGTACTTCTTTAGTACACCTTTCAACGACAGACTGCCACAGAACCTCACGATCCACTGAGTCAAATACCGTCTTTAGGTCCAGGAACACAACTATTGCCTACCGTCTAAATGTGTGTTCCAGGACCTGTCGTAGAGTGAATGTGGTCTATACAGCCACGTCCAGGTCAAAAACCAGACTGGTTTTCTCTAGTCTGCTCTTCACGAGCTCTAGTTAGGCCTCTCAGTATAATCGAGGCTAACAATTTAGAAACTATATTAGTTAGGCTTATTCCGCTGTGATTGTCACAAGAGAACTTTTGTCTTTTCTTGCAGACTGGAACAATCAGTGATTGAGACCAGTCAGATGGTATTATGCCCAGTTCCCAGATTCTACCTAAGATCACAGTCGATCTAGCCGCTAAAACTGTACCACCATCCATAGAAATCTCAGGTGTCAATTTATAAGGACCCGCTACTCTCCCTCGCTTCAGATTTTCTATGGCTTTCTCAACTTCATAAAGACTAGGACTTATATCCAGTAAGACGTAAACAAATACGCGCTAGCACTAGAGCATGGTCTGATTCTAAACAAGTGCTCCAGAATGAGCGGCAGTCTTCAATAGAGCATTCCCACCGATGGCTTATAGTGATGTGATCTAGTGAGGTCCAGTGTTCTGAAGACTTTGGGGGTCGCCATGAAAAAAGATGTTTTTCCTTTTGATTAAAGTTAGTGTTTGCCAGAAGTAGTTGGTTATCTGAGCACAATTGCAACAGACGGTCGCCATTGTCTGTTTTCTGAGCCGCGACACCATAAGATCCACCCAGGTGTCAGTCAGATGCGACGTAGAACTTCGTACGTTTGTACATAAGTTCATGTTGCCATACCACATTAGCACAGAGATGTAATTGTCAATTCAAAGCCAGTAGTAGTAGAGGTAATAAAGGTATTAGAAGTAATCGGAAAGGTTAGGGTTTCAAGATGTTATTCAAGAAGTGTAATTCAGTGAGGTAAATTTAGAAAGAGAAAGATAGAGGTGATGAGGAATTCAGAAGATTAGGATTTGAGAGAACACAAAGAATAAATACACCGGCGCCATTGCAAACGGTTTTGAGCCATGTCATTCAGGGTCTCTAGCCATCGATTATTATCATTTCGCGGACCCCACCCAGGTGTCTTCCCTCTTCACTTAGACCACCTACTTGAGCATTAAATTCACCAGCCACTATTACTATATCAGATCGCTCAACTTTTTGGACGACGTTCGGAAGGTTTCAATAAAACTCACCTTCCAACTCTCCTGAACTGCAGTCAGTGGGAGCGTAGACAGATATGACGAAAAGGCAACAGCGAGTGTCCCTATCTTTTTGAGTCCTTACTGTCCTGTTTAGTAGGACAGCGCACAAGTGTATATCTACTAGGATCCAATACAAGAGAGTCAGTTCTGCCCTAGAACTTAATGCTATATCTACACCAGAGAGGCCACGGGAAGTAGCAGAAGGGATTCCTGATACACGAATAGTGAATCTAGCTGGTTCTTTCTTTTGACATGGTGACGTCAAATGAA